TTTATTTTGTGTGTGTGTGGCCAGCTCAGCCCACCAGGGGGTGGGGCTGGCTGGCATGTGGTGCTGGGGATTGAACCGCGGTCCCTGTGCTTTGTTTTGCTTAGCTTGTTCTAAGTAGGTGCCTTAGACCACTGAGCCATCTCACCAGCCCTACAAGGTGGTCTTGAACTGACTATGTAGCTCAGGCTGTCGTCAAACTTACAGTGATCCTCCTGTCTCAGCATCCTGGGTGCTGGGATCACGGTGTACACCACCAGGACTTGCATGAGCTAAAAAGAATGGCTGGGCTACATTTTATTATTTATTTATTTGTATTTTGTGGCACAGAGGACTGAATTTAGGGCCTACATACTGACCTACATTACTAGCCCTTAAAAAAAATTGTTTTTCAAATTATGATATAGGATCTTACTAAATCACACAGTTGCTCAGACAGGGCTCAAAGTCATGATCTTCCTACCTTAGCCTTCCAAAGTAGTGGGGTTACAGTCATGTCCAGCTTTTTAAAAAATTTTACTTACTTACTTATGGTCCTGCTGTGCCTTTGCACTTACTTAGCTTGGGTTCAATATCAGTTGACATACAAAAGATAGCCAAAAAAAATCCGAAGAGCAACTTTTAGATTTAGGCAGTTATACTTACGAGACAGTAAAGAGATAGGTAGACCCTTGTTCCCCACACTAAAAAGAGCCACATTGAAATAAGGGCTGTAGGGGCTGGGGAGATGACTCAGTGGAATAAATGCTTCCCTGGCAAGTGCAAGGGCCTGAGTTCAATCCCCAGTTCCACAAAAAAAAAAAAAAAAAAAGAAAGAAATATGCGGGGCCGCGTGGGGCCACATGAGATGAGGGATATTCTGGTGCCAGGCAGGAAATCCAGACTGTGGAGAAGCAGTTTTTTGTTTGATTTTAAGTATGTTTGTTTGGGTCAGCACTGGGGAAGCTAAGTACATACTGTACCAAAGCTAAGTGGTTTTTTTTCTTTTCAGTGCTGGAGATTGAATCCAGGGCCCCTGAACTCAGCTTTTTATGTGGTTTAAGTTTTGAGACAGGGTCTTGCTAAGTTGTCTAGTCTGGGTTCAAAATGTGATCCTTCTAGGGCCGGGAATATAGCACAGTGGCATAAGCGCTTTGCAAGGTCCCAAGTTCGAGTCCCAGTACCAAAAAAAAAAAAAAGATGGGGCTGGTGAGATGGCTCAGTGGTCTAAAGCACCTACTTAGAACAAGCTAAGCTAAGCAAAGCACAGGGACCATGGTTCAATCCCCCAGCACCACATACCAGCCAGCCCCGCCCCCTGGTGGGCTGAGCTGGCGACACACACACACAAAATAAATAAATAAATAAATATTAAAAAAGAAAAACAATAAAAAATGTGATCCTCCTGTCTCAGCCACTCAAAGGCTGTGATTATAGATGTCTGCCACCCTCCTGGGCAAGAGGGGTTGAGGGGATTGAAGAAAGAATAAGGCATATTATTGAGAAAATTTTGAGCATCAACTTTAAAAACATTATTATTATTATTATTATTATTATTATTATTATTATTAGGCTTTTTTGAGACAAGGTCTCACTGTGCAGTTCAGGCTGGCCTTGAACTCACTTTGTAGCCCAGGCTGGTCTTCAACTCACAAGGATCCTCCTGCCTTAGCCTCCCGAGTGCTGGGATTACAAGCGTGATCCACCAAGCCCTGCTTCAGTTGTATTGTTTTACTTATTAGCCAAATGTGGGACAGTGTAAAAATAAAAAAGAATCACTTTTGTATGTGTGCAAGCATGATTCAGTAGGATGTTTCCATATTCTAGAGAAGCATTCTGAAATATTTGGGATGAAATGTTGTATTTAAATCTTTGTTGTTAAGGGCTGGCCAAATAGCTCAGTGGATTAAAGCGCCTGCGCAGGGGCCACTGCCGCAGTCCCCCATCCCCACCCTCCCCACACTGCAATTGAGACTGGGTGTGGTGGTGCGCCCATTATCCTAGCTCTTGGTTGGGAGGCTGTAAACATGTAGATCACTAGAGTCTGATCTAGTAGTGAGACCCTGAACACCCTGTAGACCCTTTCCTAAAAAATACAATAAATAAATAAAAAAATAATAAAATCTTTGTTGTTGCAGTATTGGGGACTGAACCCGGGGCCTGCTTGCTGAGGTACAACTCTAGTCTTTTTTGTTTTCTTGAGACAGGGTCTCACTATGTAGTTCAGGCTGGCCTTGAACTCACTATGATGCCCAGCTTCAAAGTCATGGTGATCCCCTGCCTCAGCTTCCCAAGTGCTGGGATTACAGGTGTGCACTACACCCAGCTCCCCAGTGCTTTTTGGGCTTGGTTTTCGTGTTTTTGAGACAGGGTCTCACTATGTAGTTTTGGCTGGCCTCGAACTCATAGCTGTTCTTCTGCCCCAGCTTCACAAGTGTTAGGATTATAGGTGCCCGATACCATACCTGGTTTATTGTTTTGTTTTGAAACAGGACAAGTCATTAAGTTGCTCAAGCTGAGTTTCCACTTGTGATCTTCCTGCCTCAGCCTTCCCTAAAGCTGGGCTTACAGATGTGCATCATTATACAGAGCTAAATGTTTTTAGCTGTGGCAAAATGGAGGGGTGTGTGTAACAGAAATGGTCAGCATGGCAGAGTGTTGAACACACCAACAGCCAGGGCTGGGGCATAGCTCACCAGAGAGCACTTGCCCAGCACACTCGAGGTCCTCCAAGCTCAGCGTGCAGCATGGGGCAGGGAAGGAGGGGCTATTTCAGATGTCAGCAGTGACTGTGGGAGAGACACAGAGGCTATGCTATTTTGCTTTTGCCAAGTTTGAAAATTCTCTGCATTGTTTCACAGCCGAGGTTTTAGGCTGATTTGTGTGTTTGTCCTTTCCTAGATTCAAGAAATCCATGGTGAAAAGTTTGGATTGTTATGAGGAAAAAGAGGATGAGGTGATCAAAGAGGTGAGGTAAAAGCGAGGCCTGTGATGCCCGTCCCCATGGCCCGGCCTTCTAAGCAGCCTGTCTTCCACAGATGGCAGCCCAGATCCGTGAGGTGGAGCAGAGCCGGCAGGAGGTGGTCCGATCTGTGTTAGAGGTTGGTTTCCCTCGGAGGAGCCAGAGCAGTATCCACAAGCACTGATCCCTGTTTTCCTGGGTCCAGCATTTCGACCACAGCTCTTTTAAGAACTCAAGGACTCCATTCCTCAGCCACATGGCTTGGGTTCCTGACCTGTCTGCTGGGCATGCCCAGGCAGCAGAGCTGTGGGCACGGCTGGGAGGGAGTGCCCAGGCTGGGCATTATTGCCTTATGCCATTTGGGTGTGGAGTGTGGGCATTGGCCTAGGCAGGCTCTGGAGTACCTTAGACACATTTATTTTTCCTGAATCAAACTCAGCCTCAGACAGAGCCAGATCCAGAAGAGGGCTCTTCAGCACCTGGAAGCTGGAAAGGGACCAACAGGTAAGGCTGTCAGGGACCTGCTGGTTTGGCAGCCTTGTGGCTCTTTGCCATCCTCATGGTCAGAGACCCCATCTGCCAGCCTGGCTCATTTGTCTTTCAGCCATGTAGCCTCCAGTTCTCAGCAGCCCTCATTCTTGGACCTGCCACAAGCTCCAGAACTTGACTGGATGGAGCCTGGACAACCTCTGACATTCATTGGCCACCAGGTACAAAGGACAAGCAGGTCAGAGGAGAGCCTGAGGCTGAAGTTCCAGAACAGTCCTCTCTGTGTCCCACCCATTCTTGTGACCATCCCGTGCCCCCACAGCTTTCTCCATCTGCTGCACTGCCCCTTTCCTTATTCACATTTGCATCGCCACTTGGGACTGTAACTTCCACGCTTGTTCAGCTTGATACTGGACCTCAGTAGCCCACAGGCACTGGCTAAACTCTACCAGTGTCCTGTACTCTAGCTGCTATAGATGCAGAGCCTTATCCCCTCCTTTCATTGCTCACACTGTCAGTGAGCTTATTATCTTAATGATTGTAGTAGAGGGAATTACACCCAGGGTCTTCACAGGACTACACTCTTAGCCCTTTTTAAAATTCTGAAATAGTCTATAGCCACTTAAGATGTTCAGGCTGTTTTCAGACTTATAATTCTCTGAAAGATTACAAGTGTGTGCCACCACACACAGCTGAGATTATCAATTTCTCCTCCCTTCTAAATTCAGCCTTAGGACAATTTCTATCCTCCCCTGCAATCTTGCCCTCAAAAGCCACTGCATCTGCCAGCTCACAGCAGGTATTTTCGTGTCTTCACTCTCACAGCTGTCTCCCACCCACCACTGCCTCTCCTCACCTTCTCTCAGCTCCAGCTCAAATGTCACATTTCCACCAGTGGCTTACAAGGTCATCTCTATTGTATATGAATATAGTGGAACACACAGCTTCAAATGTCATGTGACAGCAGGGTTGTTTCTGGCCCATAATGGACACACTCACCTGGAAGACTGTGAGCCTGCTAGGAGCCTGCTAGCTTCAGGCCGGGACTGTTTCAGTGACTTGTTGCTTTGCAGAGATTCAGCACCATCAGAGTAAAGTTGGTGCTATAAAGCCATTGTGTCCATCTCCTTTAAAGTCTGCTTTGTAACTAGCTGAAAGTATCCTTACCATCTCTTGGCTTTGTGTGTGGGGTACTGGGGATTGGACTCACAACCTTGTGCTTGCCAGGCAGGCACCTATGTGGCTGAGCTATATCTCCCCAGTCTTCTCTTGGCTTTCTTATGTAGGATCTCTTTTTTCCCCTATTCTCCCTACAGGATATACCTGGAGTTGGTAACATTCACTCAGGTAAGGTTCTAAGCCATGTTTTTAAAGTTGCAAGAAACAAAATGTTAGCCGGGCATGGTGGTGCATGCCTATAATCCCAGCACTGGAGAGGCTGAGACAGGATTGTTTTTGAGTTAAGTGACCATGGGCTACAAACTGAGCTAAAGGCCAGCCCGAGCTGCATAGTGAGACCCTATCTCAGACAGGAAAAAAAAAAAAGTTAACCAAGATACAGCACATGTATCTGTTAAAAGAAATTATATCTAGAATGTCAAAAGAACTCAATTTAGTTAAGAACTGGGGGTGAGCTCAGTGGTAGAGTACCCACTTGTTTGTGAAAGGGCCCTCACATCTAGACATTAATAACCCGTTTAACATAAACGTACTACACACATATCCAGCCTTTCTACTCCCATTACCCAAGAACTGCACACAAGTCCCCACACTGGAAACAGTCCAGATGTTCATCAGCAGGTTAAGATTAACAGGGTAGTAGTCAGCAACAGAGGAAAATACTGAATAAAGGAACACATCAGTCTCGACATAATTATGATCAATGGCCAGACCTCAAAACCCTAAAGAAATAGCTACATTAGGGGTTTCCTGGGACAGAAGGTGGTATTTCATTTTATGCTGGGGATCAAACCCAGTTTTATGTATGACAGAGCAACATCCCTAGCCTCAGGAGGAGGAATGTTCCTATGACATCCAAGGTTTTGTAGTAATCCCTAACCCCAGCACTAAGACTGTTGTCAAGTTCAGGGCCAGTCTTAATCCTGTCAGAACTTTTTTTTGGTTGTGTTTAGACAGGCTCTCACTCTGTAGTCCAGGCTGGCCCCAGTCCTTCAGTGCTATTAATTCACCTCAAGTGCTGAAATTATAGGCACACATCACCATTCCTGGCCTGTACTTTTTAAAATGTTTCTCCATTGGGTAAGACAACTGCCATACACCTGTAACCCCAGTTAATCCCAGGAAGCTAAGAAGACAAATTCAAGACCATCCTCAGCAACTTAAGACCCTGTCTTGAGATAAATTTTAAGCCTGAGTATAACTCTAACAAGTTGCAGAGTTCCCCTGGGTTCAAACCCAGCATGGGTCTTTTTCCAGGTGCCACACCTCCTTGGATGATGCAGGATGAGGAATACAGCTCTGGGAACCAACAAATAGGACCTTCCTATGAAGAATTTCTTAAAGAAAGTGAGTGACCTGATTTAAAAGGGCAGAAGATGCAGAGTGTCACACTTAAGACTTGCCTTATCATTGCAGAGGAGAAACAAAAACTGAAGAAACTACCCCCAGACCGAGTGGGGGCCAACTTTGATCACAGCTCCAGCACCAGTGCAGCCTGGCTGCCTTCTTTTGGCAGAGTTTGGAACAATGGGCGCCGCTGGCAGTCCAGGTATGGATCCCGGGCCAGGACCAGCGCACCTGCTCTTCAAGGTCTCACCCTTCTTGCTAACCCTTACTTTGCTTTCAGGCATCAATTTAAAACTGAAGCTGCAGCAAGGAATAAACAGAAGCCTCAGAAAGGAAAGAGCTAATCATACCCAGGTGTTCTTCCACAGCCAGCCCCTTCTCACTGATTCTCTTCCCACCAAGCCCTTTGTTATGAAACAGACACACTCGTTCATTTAATAATAAAATTTTATTTTTTCCAAATGTACACCTGGTTGAGCCTGTTTAAAAAAAAAAAAAGAATCAGAACCAGAGAGCTTTATAAAAGAGGGGGGACAATACAGCTTTAAACCACATCCCTGGCTCCTACTCACCTATTCATCATGCATCTTCACCGGCGGCAGGAGCATCTCCACCCTTGGTATTTCTGGTATAAATAACTTGAGCTCTGTGCTTTGAAACCAACTTGATAAGCCCTAGCAAGACAGGAAATAAAATATTTATATAGTAGCACTACGAGGTACTCATTAAGCTACTAGAAACTAGTTTTCTATGCCCTCCAAAATAGTATTGCTTAAACCGAGTCAGTTTTTTATTCTATTTTGTGAAGAGAGTTAAACACTGAACTCAAGGCCTTCACAGTGAGCTACATCCCCAGCCTTTTAAATTTACAGACAAGATCTTGCTACCTCGCTGAACTGCTCAAACTTGGCTCAAACTTTTGTTCCTCCCACCTCGTTTTCTATTTCTAGAGTGCTGGGATTACAAGCATGCACCAGAATACCAAGCTAATGATCATTAATAACCTTTAAACAAAGAGCCTATTAATTCTTGTGATTTAATCACAACTTTTGGGACTAGACACATAGCTCTGTGGTAGAGCACCTTCTGTGATGAGTCTTGATCTCCAGCAGTGCAGACAAGGGGGTTATACCATTCACGTTAGTGATTTATCACTCAATCTTTAGCTTAATGCATTAGTAAGTGAAAGCATCTTCCACATTTTAAAAATAATTCGGGATACATTTTTATAGCACCTACACCAATAAAATGGACACAGTCATTGTTTAGTTTGAATTTTCATACAATTAAAAAACTCAGCGGCTGGGGCTGGTGAGATGGCTCAGTAGTCTAAAACACCTACTTAGAACAAGCTTAGCAAAGCACAGGGACCTCGGTTCAATCCCCCAGCACCACATGCCAGCCATTCCCGCCCCCTGGTGGGCTGAGCTG